GCTCTCTTAAACATCCCCCCCCCCCCTTTCAAAGGGATGATTTGTAAGGTAAGGTGCGGGGGCTGTGCGCTCCCAAAGCGCTCCCTCCAAGGCCTCTCACATTGTGTTGGCGGCGGGTGGCGGGAAGGGGCCGGGGCCGGTGCTTCACCCATCCCAGGTGAGACCAGGGTCGCCAGCCAGGTGGGTCCTGCGGGGCAAGGGGGCTCCGGAGGAGGCCGCGTTTTGCGGACTTCATCAGCTCCTCCCCGACCCCAGGCGCGAAGGCCGCCGACCCGGGCCGCTCCGGAGGCAGGGCGCGCTCGCCTCGCGTCTCAACCTGGCCTGGATCGGGGCGTGGGGAGGACCCGGACCACCCAGCCCTGCTCGGGGGTGGGAGGAGGAGGAGGAGGAGGAGGAGGAGGAAGAGGAGTTGCCCCCGGAGTTCCCTCTGCTTCTAGGGTGACGTCGTCGGGGCGGCCCTTCCTTCACCTCCGGGTGTCCGGTTTTCGCGCTGGCTGTTCAAGGGACGCACAGATGTCTAAGCAGAGAACAGTCGGCATAAATTGGGAAGAAAGCCTTGGGAAGCTCAATAAACACACGGAAACATCAGACGGGTTTCCTTATCGCCCCCCCCCCGCCGGTCCCCGCTTCTCTGACCAGTTCCGACCGGCCTCCCTCGCTCTCTGGGAGCGGAGCCCTAGGTCAAAATTTGCACCCTTCCTCCTATGCCGGGGTAGAAGAAAGGGCTTGAGTTATAAACAGTGCACATTGGGAGGGGGGCCCCATGAAATCCACACATCGCCCCCTGCCTGGAGAGGACCCTAAACAAGCCACGGAAGGGCGTGAACAAGGGGAGGCCTGCGTGGGTTTGGGAAACCGCCATCCGTGCCGGCAGGAGGATCACCTGAGGCGCCTGGTGGACGTGCTCAGCCTGAGGGGGGCGGGGGCCCCTCCTTCGCCCCCCCCCCCGCCTCCATGTTAGGAAAAGATTAGGAAAAGCTCCCCGAGTTGCTCAGGCGGCACCGGCAGAAGTGGGGCTCCAAGGAAGTGAAACCCTCTCTACCCGTTTCGCTCCCCTCACCCACCCGCCCATCTTCTCTGCGCCCTGCCGGATCTCAACTGACCTCCCAGGTGCTTGCTTGCCAAGGGAGGCCACCGAGAGACTGGGCGCCTGTTTCCCAGCGGGGCTGAGCAGGGACGTGGAGGGGGCACCGCTGGGTTGCCAAAGAGCGCCACAGGGGAGCGGTGCCTTCGCCAGCCAACCGGGAGGAAGGTCCGGGTCCCCAAAGGCTGCCTCTCCAGCCTGCCTTGGAGCAGAGCCCAGCCCGGGGCCCTTGAAAGCCTGGCCTCCTAGTGAGAGGGAGCCGCAGGTTTCAAGGCTGGAGAAGGGCAGGATCCTCCCCTCCCCTCTTCCAGCCACATCAATTAATCATCCTTCTGTGCATAGAGGGTGGCCCTGTATTGAATGCGCTTTTAATTTCCTTCCCCTTCCACCTTTTAAGAGCAACCAGGCAGCACTTCCAGAGAGTGGCGGGCGGCTGCATGCAGCAGCCCCTCTGCGGGGGCCCCGAGCTCGTCCATATTTAATACGATAACGTTGCTGCATACAGAAACCAAACCCTTTTAATTAGAGGCCGGCTGGCGTCATCACCCAGACGGCGGGCTCTAGCTGTCTCGGCTTAGGAGGGAGGCCCCTGGCCCTCAAGTCCTGGCAAAGGGCTGCAGCCCCTTGTGCTACCTCTTCTCCAGAAGAATCCCAGTTCACATTTTATCTGGGAATGTGTGGGTCTTTGCTGTCCTGTCTCCAGTTCCTCCCATCCCCTCCTGGTCTCTGACAGTTAAATCTCCATGTGGTGGAGAGAGGGTGGGAGGAGAGAGAGCTGCATCTGGCCAGAGCTTGGAACAATGACCTCTTGGACTACAAGTCCCAGGATCCAGGAACCAATATGTCTGCCAGCTGGGGATTCTGGGAGATGTCATTCCAAAAATGAACTTTTCCAGCTTCTGGGAAGACAGCATGTGCAAGGCAGAGAGGGCGCCTGCTTTGAGTCACAGCATCTTCAGTCCATGACTTCCAAAGGGGTCCAGAGGCTCAACCGCAGAGCCCAACCACCTCTGGGGAGAGAGGCTTGGGATGGATGGATGGTCAGATTCAATAGAAGGCATCTCTGTCCAGGTGGATTCATTCACCAGTGAAACAGATTTCATCATCATCCTGGATTCAACAGGCAGCCAACTTCTCCTGTTTCTTGCTTAATGGGGTCAGCACGGGGAGGAGGGAGCATTTTTGAGCTGGGCAAAGTGTGTACCCTGTCTGTGACTTTACCACCCTAGTCTAGTCACAGTCAACCCCCCCCACTTTACCACCCTAGTCTAGTCACAGTCAACACCCCCCCAAAAAAAGCATGCACACACACACACACACACCCCGCAGAGACATTCAGCACCATTCCTGTCTGTTTAATGCCGTTTCCATGCTCCATCATTATGGATAAGCAGCTTTGATTTCTCAAGGGCCCCACCCACAGGCACAGAAGCGTTGACTTATTCATGCACAGCACATACCCGCATGTCTTGGCTGGCTTGCCTCGTGTGAAGGCCGGCCTTGGTTGAGAAGCACCTTCTCGGTTGCAGGGACTGGAAAGGTGTCTATTCAAATCCTCTGCTTCCAAAGCTTTTGCCAACCCCCCCATCCCACCCCCTGGGATTAATCCATGCAAGCTAGGCCACAGGTGGACAGAGAAGCACCAGAAATGAGCAATGGCTAGAACCCAGTAGTATTGCTTGTTTCCTAAGGAAATCGCTTTAGGGTTGTGCCTGAGAAAAAGTTCCCAAAGCTGAACAAGTCCGGGTCATTTCAGTGCCAGAGCCCGCTTCTTGGCACAAAGGGGACCCTGGTCATTGGCAGCGGGAGTGGCCTTTTGGACTTAACATCTTTAGTCTTTGACATTTTGTGAACTGACTCTGCCCGCTAGGCTCCTTCTGAAAACAGCGCAAAGCACGCCTGCTGGGCCTCACCATCGGCATTTTAATGGGGGGCAATCCATTTCAATGGACATGCCTGGTTGCATGGGCTTGTTTTGGGGCCCTCTCTGAGAAAGACCTTCGCTTTGGAGAAGCTGCATCCTTCTCCTCGTCATGTCTCCCAAGCTTGCCAGGAGAAACTGCGGAAGTGAATGGCCTTTCTCCCCCTTTCTTTCTTTCTTTCTCTCTCCCTCTCCCCTTCCTTTTAATCAGCAGGTAGAACGGTTTGGCCTCCCAACCTCGACACTGTCACACCGTTAATATTTCAGCAATTGCCTCGGAGAGGCACAGCACGTCCCTGGCTCTAAATGTCTCCCTTCTTAATAAACAGTATTTATGGGGGTGGCCTTTATGGCTAGCTGACATTTGAGCGCAAGAAGGCCAGGATAGTGCCTCTTCCTCCCTCCTGCTCTTCTTTCCTCCCTTCCTCCTTCCCTTCTCATTTTTGCTGCATAGAAAATTTGGAATCTAAGCCCTCTGACCTGAGTTGGCAAGCATATCTGTGGCAGAAAATGTTGCAAAGTTTTGAATGTCTGATAAAAATTTCTGGCTACTTCTTCCATGCTTTCCTTAGTTCAGAAAATCTGCGAAGGAGAAAAAAAAAGGCAGGCCAGCCCCATGGCGGCCTTCCAGCGGTTCCTGTGAAACTGCCCAGAGACGGACTCACAGTTTGCAGCCTTCTCTCCTGGGCAAGAGGAAGCATTGCCTTGCTTGGCAGATTGAAGGGTTCCAGAGATCTTTTGTTCCACCAAAGGGGTGTGTGGTTTCTTGCTCACAACAAGGTTCCATATCTAAAGAAATGCCCTGCAGGCAGGTTGGTGGCTGCCGCGCACAGTTCCCCACAAGACTAGGGTAATTTCTTGATTGACACCTTGTCATTTTTTGCTGGTGGAAAATGAAAGACAGGTCTTGTAAACAAGTTCACTTTTGAAGGATAAATACTCCGGATAACGGAAAGGAGGATTTAAATCTGAGCAATCAGAACAACCTCTTGTGCTTTTGAGACTTCAAGCCTCAAAATAATGGCATTGGGAGAGGAAAGAAAGCTTTCCCCGTTGCCTTTCCTTGAGCTCTGCTCCAGCCTTCTGGCGAGGGAGAGCTTTCAGTGCGCGGGGCCATGAAAAACTCTGGCTTGTTTTCTGCAAATGGCCATAGATCTTG